TGTTATGAAGTGAACAATAAGCAATGAACTTCATAGAAGTCAACTAAGATCACATTCTCCAAGTAAAACTCCACTACTATTGAAGAAATGTAGAGATGCCTGGTTAAAATTTGTTTGTGAATAAACCTAACTCATTTTGGGAAAGTGTTTTATGGACAGACAAAGCAACTATTTGGCATAATTCAAGAATTTTGAAGAAAAGTCATCGAAGAACACAATCCCAACCATGGAATTTGGTGGTGGCAATATGGTTGGGGTTGTTTTTCTGCTAATGGTATGGGTAATTTAGAGATAATATATGGTAGAATAAATTAAAAAATATACAAGATGTTTTGTGCTCTAATTTGTTTGGATCAGTTGTAAAGCTTGAGCCCCCAAATGAATGACTTTTGCAACAAGATTTTGCTAGATTCTTCCAATTATCTTATCCTAAAGCTATGGCTAAGTCTATGAAAAAATGGCTTATTGAAAACAATGTCAATACACTTGAATGGTCATCATAGTCTCCAGACTTGAATCCAATAGAGAATTTGTGATTTATTAAAAATTCAAGTTAATAAAAGAACTCCAAAAAACATCCTGAATCTAAAGAGTACATGCAAAGAAGAATGGAGTAAAATACCAATGGAAACTTGCAAATCATTGATTAAAAGCTATAAAAAGAGACTGATTGTTGTTGAATTGAATAAGGGATATGCTACAAAGTATTAAATAGGTATTATAATTTTGTAAGAATACATTTTTGCCTCTAATTTTTTTAATTTCATATAATTTCATTAATATAACAATTTTTTCTGAATTGTTTTTGCATATTGCAGCATTACGCCATGATATACAAATATTGTATGGATTATAAAACTCTTTTATAAAATCTATGTTAAATAAAAAAAATCATGGTGTATGAATATTTCTTTCCCCCCACAGTACCTCATGGTTGGGTCTGTGGCATTTTCTACAGTCTTTCCATAAGCTGGGGATTGTTTTGGTGAGTGCTTTTTTTCACATTCAGCACACAAAATGTAAGATCTAGGGCTGATGCTGTGATATTGGGATGTTCTCCTTTTTTCATTTATTATGTATTATTATGTATCAAGTTAATGTTGTGCTACAGGCACAATAATTCCACGTGGGTTGTTTTGGTATGAACAACAAAGGGATCAGTTTATTCTAAGTTCACATGTTCAAAAAGTGTGCACAGTGTCCATGTCTTACGATGAGCTCTTTTTTATTATTTTACACCATGTTAGAATCTTGTTCAGGAATGTCATGTATCAAGGTTCATAACTCGTTGTTAACTTAGTTTATATGCACATGCTACATCTTCACTCTCAAGATGACAGTACAGCTATGTGGTTAGTAACAGGTACACAAGAGAGACAAAGGAAAAAGATATGTACATATATGTATAGTAACATATGCAGAAACAAAAAGATTTCCTGCAGAGAAAAAAATAGCAGTTCACTGAGTTCACTTATAAGACTAACCTGTTCTGTGGTTTTAACTTACAAACTTGAATGTCACATCTGAATTTTATGGGATGTACCTTTTCTTTTTATTATGTCCACTTACAGCTACTGGAACTATGTCACCTGTATACGACATTAGTTTTATTTTTGCTGGGTATATTTAGGGCTTGGTTTTCATTTTGTTTAAATAATTCAGCGGTAGGATGTTGATGTTGTTCCCTGTGTCAAGAAATTTTAGTGACATTTTGATGCCTTGAAGTAACAAGTTCATTGTCCACTGTGATTTGGGTTTAACATGTGCATTCTCTATAATATCAACTACACATATGAATGATAATTGCCATCTTCACTTCTAGCAGACTTGTTTACAGTGTATTTTCTTTGTTTGGCATGTTTTTAAAATTCACATTCTTCATGACTGTCCTTTTGCCACACTAGTTCTATCCACATGGTGATATCCATATCTGCCACATTCATTGACCCTGTTTTTGGTTTTTCTTTTCATTCATGTATATTTCCCTTTGGTCGTATTTTTGTGTTTTGTAGGTGGACTGAATCACGCTTACTGAAAATGTGTTGGAAACTTCTAGGGCATGACTTGTAGCTGTTTCATTATTATGGCAGACATTTACGACTTTTTCCACATTTGGGTTGTCCAAGTCCATTAGTCTTCTTCTTGTCTTGTCACAACAGGTTCCAATACCATACTGTCTTTTCAATGCTAGTACTCACATCTTCCTGCTTGTGTCTGTAAGTCTGTGAGAAATGACAGGAAAGTTTCTCCTTGCTGTGTCCTTGTTTTAAACTGATACCTTTCATGGTCTATATCTTTCTTGCTTTGAACATATTCCTAGAATTTTCTCACTAGTGCCTTATAATTTCCTTTTTCTGTGTCAGTTAATGTTAGAGCATTGTGCACCTCTATTGCCTTTTCTCAGGTCATACATTTTATTTTGTCTGGCTTGCTATTTTTTCTGGTATCACGAGGTACAATTCAAATTTCTGTAACTAGTTTGTGTAATATATTTCAACATTTCTTTCTCGGGACATCTGTGTGGGAGGTTGAATAATATGCATTATTGTATGCATGAGTTTTCACTTCTAACATCCTGTAATATTTCCACATGGGGTGTTTTGGTAACGAAGACAAGCTTGACAGTTGTTTATCCCAAGTTCACATGTTCAAAAAGTGTCCACGTCTCATGGCAAGCTCTCACTTTTACACCATGTTAGAACCTCGTTCAGGAATGTCCTGTATCAAGGGGTGTAACTCATGGTTAACTAGTTTCTGTGCACATGCTAGACAACTGTAACAGTGAATGATGAGACAAAATGTACTGTGTACTTATCTGTAGCAACCCATGGCGTGATTATCTCTGATTGCTAGTAGCTACAGGCATTACACTTTATTGAAATATGATTGGTTTCTAGAAATAGTTAAGAATTAACTCTGTAATACATCTCTGTGTCTCTTTTGCTATCTCCTTTTTAAAGGAGAGTTCTGTTTTTAACAGAAATGACGTCATAAATTAACAGTTAGTAAGGTAATATATTCTGTGTGCCACCAACACAAAACCATTAAAAAAAAGAAAATGTAAAACTAATTTTAAAAAATGACAACAAATGACTGAATTTTTTCCCAGTTGGTTATCTTGGTCATTAATTTTCAATGTTTATTTTAGGTACCACCAAAAGATGCTTTTTTTTTTTTTTTTAAACTGAAAGCAAAAAATCGTTACTCCGTTTCAAAATATTTGTCAAAAACCAGGGAATTATCTGATCTAAACGAAATTTATTCAGTACTTACTTCTGATTCATTAATGAATGAATTGTATATTGAATAGGTTATTTTATTAGAAAACTTTGTAGAAATATTTTTAGGGAGGTCTGTTTCAACCGCGACTCCCTTTCAATGTACTTTTTAATTTGGTGTGTATGTGTGTGGTGGGGAGTTCATCAAATTTTGTTATAAAGAAAAATTCCTGAAGATGTTATTTCAGTAAAAAAAAAAAGGTTATGCTATACCAAGTGTAAACATACGGAAAATTTGTCTTGCTATTTATTAAAATTAATTCAATAAAAAACACAAAAAGAAATTCTTTTATTTTCATCAGATTGAACAGACAAAAAACCTACACTTATTTATTTAAAAAAAAAAAAAATTACTACTTGTAATTTTTCAGTGCGATTTTGAAATTTATCCCACTGCTATTTCAAGCAGAGTTTTTTTTTATTATTAAAAAAGACACTTTTGAAGAATTGAAAAATGTAAAGTTTAATGACTTTAATGAATGCCATTTTTTAATGTGAAACTTTTTAAAAAGAATTATATTTTTTTCATTTTAGAAACAGTTGGATCATTTTGGTATGGATGTTCAAAAAGGAAATAAGGTGTGATTATCATTATTTTTTTTATTTTTGGCCTATGACCCTCACAGGCTACCGTGCGTAAATAAACGTTGTTTTTATTAATTTCTAAGTAAAAAGTAAGTATTACTTTTACAAAATAATACTTAAATTTACTAAATAAATGACTTACAAAAACATCTCAAAGATAAATAAATACTTGATTTTTAAATTTGTTGTTTCCATTTTTCCGATTTCGTCTATAATGGCGGTACGATGAGTGATGAATGAATGTGCCAATGTTTTAAAAATGCCTAAAAAAAACTTTAGTTATATACGGAAATTCATTTTTCTTTTAATTCGGGCTTAGAGTTATCTTCAAATTAGGTCGAAGTTTAGAGACAATAAAATGCATTTTTCAGGATTTTATGAAGCTGTGAAATTGAAATCCTAGTGTTGACTTTAGTTTTTAATTTTACAGTGTATTTTTTAATTAGTTTTTTACACTACAGTGTATGAATCAATATTGAATAGTGTAAAATTTACACTATTCAATATTCATTCATCAACATTAGGATTTTTATTTATTGATTTAATTAATACGGAAACAATAATGAAATTAAATATTTTAGGGAGAGACTCAGAAAATGCATGATGTTTTTTTTACCTGAATTAAAAATTTAGGACTAATTAAAACTGAATAAAAAACTTATCAAAAATTCTAAATGTAGTTTTAAGAATAATAAATAAAAGTAAAATTAAATGAAAATACATATTTATTCATAATTCTATCTATAATCAGGCAATAATAAATTATTCCGACAATAAGATTTGTTTTTATTTAATAAAATATAAAAATAAAATTATCTTCTACACTAAAACTTTTCACTTAATTTTCTAATTTAAAATATGTTTTTAAATTATTCTAGAGTTCAAGTAATCCATTTTTTAAACAGCTTAAAAGCATTTTATTTACTTTTTCTAAAGCTTTTTAGTTTTTTTAGTAATTAAAAATGAAAAAGTCAGATGACTGTTCGTGTTATATCTGAATGCGTTGTCTGACATCATATATCACGTGACCCCCAAAATAATTTATCTGGACGACAAGTACTTTCGAGACTTTCGTTAGGACGGATATTTTACTTAAACTGCATCATTTTACGATATTTCCATCAAAAAGGCAAAAGTATGTCGATTAAGGCTGTTTGCGTAATGAAAGGCGACAGAGATGTTAGCGGCGTCATTCATTTCACCCAAGAGGTAAAAAAAAAGATCGCCCTTTAGATTTCTCGTTACTGCTTTTGTTTTAAATTATTACTAGATTATTCACTTTTAAATGTGTAGTACTTACATTTGTTAAACAGCGTTATTTTTTTCCTTTTTTAAACCCTATTTCATACATTCTCTTTCTTTGTGATTGTGCGTGTTGAATGTTTAACATTTACTTAAACTTTTCGTGTTTCCATTCTCATAGAACACTTGGAGTGGCGATAAATAGTCAATCTTTTCGTACCGAACTGGGCAGTAAAATTAACACTCTCCAACTTCTTATTTTTTATTTTAAGACAAAACTAGTAATATTTAAGGACACGCTAATCTAGGATTCCAACTTGTTTTACTTAAGTCTACAAATCTGTAAAGAAGCTGAGTCTCGAACAAGCAAATTTCTCTGTAGGTTGCTTCTCATAACTTTCATTTGAAGCAAATAAAAAAAAAAAAAATCGAAATTTTTTTAAAAATATTTAAAGTTGTTAATTAAAATACCTATTTAAAGGTAAAATTATATAGCTTGTACATCGACCGTGGCGTGTCAAATTTTTAAAATGGCGACTTTTTTCTTTTTGTAACTAACTACCTATGTTGCCCGAAAGCCAAGGCATTTTGCATTTATTGATAATTTGACTTTCTTCGTGATGCTTTTCTTTGTAAGGGAAGAAACAATACTTTAGAGAACAAGAAAATTTAGGATTCCATGCATTGAAAATGAAATTACTTAAACTAAAAACGTGTGTAGTGTACACTTTTAAATCTTACTTTTTCTGTGGTGATAAAGTAATTTCTATGTTTACGTTGATAAAAACTTTATTTTAACAATTAAAAGCCTACACATTGAAACATTAAAAAATTTATGGTCAAAGACTTTCTCTTTAGTCTTCACATTATTGGAACAAAGATGTTAAAAACTTTAACAGAATTGTATGGAAAAAATGCATGTTGTTGATGTTAACGCACAAAATTTGAATATTCAATTATAAAACTGACTTTTTAAACACTAACTTAGTACGCAAGTTAGATACACTCGAACCTACTCCAAATTGGGATAAAAACAGTAAAGAAAGCAAAATATCAGTGGAATTTGTTAAAAAAAAAAAAAATACGAATTTAACACACACCCCGGTGACATACATTGGGAATTACCTAAGACTTGTAAATGAAATTTAGGTAGGCAAAACTTCGGAAGTCGTTAATGGGTGTGACTGTAATGTGCACAAGGTCCTAGTGACCGAGGGTTTGTTCAATTCTTGCTTACGCCGGATTATACACACTGCAAACAAACTAACCAGGCCCGCTCAGCATAGGGTGTTGGAAAAACAATATGTTGAGCAGTTAGTGTAGCAGACAGTTCAACTTGGTGTTGGAAACTAACCTCTCTGACACACAGTATAAACGGGCATATCTGGGTCAAGCTTTGAAGTTTTTTGTTTTTAATTCGTCTACTAAATTGAATACCAGTCAGTGCCATACGTTAAAATTTTTTTCTGGATTTTTTTTTTTTTTTTTTTTTTTAGACATTAAGTCCTTATTTTCCTTTTTCAAATCTTCACGATTTACAAAAATCATTTGTCGTTCTAAGTAGTAAACTTTTTAAGACGAATGACCAACAAGTCAGATTTCTTTTCTTGTCGATAACTCCAAAACGGTAAGGTTTCTTAATTTAATTGTTAATTCGAGTTCAGCATGTACATTTGCACGGAATTATGATTTGGGAAAGATTTAAAGGGATATTAGCGCACGGGTAACCGTCATAAAATTCCAATTTTGCGTTCTCTGATAAAACTAATTAGTGCACTGTAGTCAGTGCGGTAATTAATTTATGAAAAAATAAAAATTGTTGAAAAAAAAAAAAAAAAATCTTACCAATATTGCCGTGTAAGTAATAGACGAACACAAGTATCTAACGCAAAAAAAAAATTATTCCCATATAATTCCAATACAATTTATTTACATGAAATAAAAATATACATCCACACTTGCGCCAATGGTCAATGCTAATGGCTTAAATGAGTAAAAACTCTCAATTTGTTCCAGCCTTGGAAAATTTTCATGGCTAAATTAGAATGTTTCTGTAGTTGGTTGATTATTTTCCGGTGTTTTGGAGTTATAATTTATTAGTCAGGACAAGCTTTTCACCTTTTTAGTATTACAGTCGTTTTAAATCTCTAGCTAGAATTATTCTCGCCCTAATTTGTTGATGTAACTGTCGACTAATTGAAACTATTTGGGTAAATTTGCTTTTTAACACCCGCGCTAAATATCTCTTGTTCCCAAATCGTCATAATTCCGTGTAAATGTACATGCTGAACTGGAATTTTCAATTAAATTATGAAGAAACGTACCGTTTTGAAGTTATCGACAAGAAAAAAATCGGACTTCTTGTTTGTAATTCGTCCTACAGGCATTGTTTTAAATACATTCAAGATTTCCGGTGGCGCAATCATAAAATATGGCCCATTTACTTCTTTTACACTACAGCTATATCTGTTTTTGAAATCACTACGCATTATCGTAATTTTTTTCTTTTTGATAAATGTAGTCTTATTTATAACAGGAAACTTTAAAAAATACAAATTAAATACAAAAAACCTTTTTTCTGTGTAGAATAGCAATGACAAAACAATTTAATAAAAATAAAGCATTTTTTATATTTTAAATAAAATTTAAAAATAAAACAAGTTAATGCACAAACTTGGTAAAAAAAAAGTAGAAGGGTTGATTGTAATTATTTAATTTTTTTTTCATTTGTCCCCTTTTCTACACAGCCAACCAAACCCCTCCTAAACTTAACCCATAAACATAACACTTTGTAAAGAGCATGTACAAAATAAAATTACAAAAAAAAAAAAAAAATACTAGAAACGAAATAAGGGTTTACTCAAGTTCTAGGTTCCTCCATCAGGTCGCGTAAAAAAAACAAAAAAACAAACGGCATATCACGATGAAAAAAGGCCCATAACTCAACGAAAACAAAGTTTTGTTATCAAAATGTTATTAATTGAAAGCTAAAGCATTACATTTATCTACACTAACATATTCTGGTGTATTTCGGATAGAAATTATAGATTGGAATGTCAAGTATATGCTCAATCTTTTTTTAATTTTCTCTTCAAGAAAATTAAAAACGGTCATTTTCTTAAATTTTAAGAAATTTGTAAACAAAAAAAAATTGATTTTAAACTTCCTAAAATATATTTTTGACACGTTATTTGAGTAAAATTAGAAAATTTAAATTAATCTGATTTGAAACAAACATTACTTATAGCATAAAAAAATTGTATCCAAACATTTAACGATGTGTCTGAATTTTTTCATGTCTTTATTCACGTTGACTTTTACGGGTATTATGGATGATCAAATTTGACATAATTTTACTTAAAGTAAGCGAACGCGTTTTTTATTTTTAACTAGTAATTTTTAAATATTAACATTTATTCAGCAACTATGTAATTTTTTATTTATATATTTTTTTTTAGTCTGGATTTCGTTTCTTAGGTTCTTAATCTTTTTATCTTAACTTACTAACTTAAATAAAAAAAAAATACTTCAATGAAATATGACTCGAACTAAAATAAAAAATAATTGGTAAAAAAAGTAATTCACAAAAATTAAAACTTAGAAATTTTGAAAGGACTTTTGCAAACACGTTAACGATGTGAAACAGATCTGGATATTGAAGAATTGCAGTGCCTCAGACGACAATCAAATCACGTGATCTTTTTAAGGATTGTCATGTATAGATTCCCCATAAATTAGGAACGCTTTTTCATTAAAAATTATTTTTAAAATAATCGGGTACAAACGACTGTTATGGGCTTTTCAAATTTCGATTCGTAAATTTACTTTACCATTAACGTTATCATTGCTTAAAACTAAAAGCAATAAAGAATTTTAAACGATTTTTGAAGTAAGTTAAATTTTTTAAAAAAATGGAAAAAATTTTATAAAAATAAATTAATCATCGAAAAAATTTTCTCCACAAAATAATGTCCTTAACGTATTTTTTACAAAAGCAAGTCAAAGTTTTTCTAATTAAAATGTCGATTTTTTTACTTTTTTTTTTTTTTTTTAATTCAGAATAGATTTTCTATGAAACGGGTAACTGTTTAAAAAAAAAAACAAACAAAAAAAAAAAAAAAAACTGGTGATTTACTTTCTATAAAGAGTCCTGTTTTAGCTAATCAAAACAAAACAAATCCCATGCTTTTTTAAAGATTTTCTCAATTTCATAAAAATATGTAAGGGGTTGGAAACATGTTAAATCTTTTTAACAAGATTTCCTAACAAAAAAAAAAAAAATTCATTTCTCTAAGTCCTGAAAGTTTCATTAAAATCCGACAATTATTTGATTTTTGCAAGAATTTTCAAATCAACGCGTTTTCCTCGAAAAGCGCAAAATAAACCATTTTCTCTAGTTCGCCTCTGTCGTAAAAAAAAACACACTTTTTAACCAAAATTTCCTACGTGCTAGAAAGGAGTAAAAAAAAAAAAATACTTTGGTCTTTCCTCTTCATAACAAATATTTTGATGACAAAACTGTTTTCGTTCAGTTATGGTCTTTTTTTTTCATCGTGATAGGCTGCATTTTTTTACGCGACCTGATGGAGGTACCTAAATTATTTAATTTTTTTTTTTTTTTTTTTTTTTTTTTTCAATTTGTCCGCTTTTTAATTTAAAAAAGAAAAAAAGAAAGCTTTTGTATTTGTTTTAATTTGTCATTACTATTCAACACTGAAAAAAGGGTCTATATTTAATTTTTTGTTATAAAATTTTTTGTACGCTTACAAAAAAAAAAAATTACATTTCTTTATGGTAGTGCGTAGTGATTTTCTGCAAAATAAATAGGCAAAAATTTTGCTTCCGCCAGCGGAAGTACTACGCAGTGAATCAGTGATCATGATGACAGTAACGAAGGACGAATGACCAACAAGAAGTCCGATTTTTTTCTTGTCGATAACTCCAAAGCGGTAGGTTTCTTAATTTAA